ATACATATGACAATGTTATATATATTATTATTATTAGTTTTAATTATTGTGTTTTTATTTTAGTAAAAGTAATTTGCTATTTGTTAGATATAAATGAGAAATGCATATGGCTAACTAAAATTTCAAGTGATTTTTGTAATACCATTGTCACATTTTTAGAAAAATATTATGTTTATTGAAAAATAAAAAAGTTTTAAAATTAAATTTAATAAAATTAAATTAAAATTGTAAAAATCGGCCAATGGACAAAAATGTATATTTATAAGGGTGGGTTATCCCAAAGCAATCCCTTAAAATATTTTAAAAAATTCTTACATGGAATTTTGTATTATAAAATAAAATTAACGTAATTTTTTAATATCAAACAGATGTCACGACAATTTATGTAAAGGGAAGACCTTTTATAGAATATTTCGTTAGCGTTTATTTACTTTTACTTTTCAGCAAGAGACTACAGTAAAATCACAGCTTAACAATACAGCTAAAACACTCTCTTGGCGGCAACGGTTTGCGTCGATTTCGTCGCGCATCGTTTAAGCTCCGCCTTCGAAGGGAAAAGACGGTTTTGGTGTTCAGAAGCGTACTTAGGTAAGATGTTGAGTCGTGCGTATAATTTCGTTGATTGTATAATTTCGTGGAGCCTATAATTTCGTTGATTGTATAATTTCGTGGAGCCTATAATTTCGTTGATTTTGTTTGAGTTAAAGGTACTGTTATTATTTTGGTGACTCTTTAGCTATGAGTAGAATGAGTGAGAAAAAAAGACATCATTCTGTTTGTGCAGTCAAAAGCTGTTTTAATAAGGGTTATACCTGCAAGAAAACATTCTTTAGTTTTCCCAAGGACTCAAACCGATAAGTACCACATTATAAGAAATTTTCATTGTTAAAAATATAATTTATACAGGGTATCCCATTAGTGCGTTATTGTTCATTATTTTGTTGTAGACACGCAAGAAAGTTTTAAATAAAAGTTATATGGATTTGAAAAATACCTACATATTTTAAAAATATCTTTGGATATACAGGGTGTCACGTTTTTGCCTGGCAAATTAAAATGTATGTTTTTTAAATGGAACACCTTGTATTTTATTTTATGATAAAATTATTAACACCCTAAATTATTGTAAAGACGAATTGATACAGAAAAATTTTATCAGGTATGTGTGTGGTTACCTTTTAATAAAAGCCTTGCGGATCCACTCCTCTGCGATACCTGTCTTAAATATAACAAAGATCACGTTGAATTAGATGATTTTTCTTTTTATTGCTTTTTAAAGGCATATGATAACGCCAATCCAGATACATTTGGAAATCTGCAACTGTCAAATGATGAATTTGTAGAACTAATATTCAATATTGAAAAGATATTTCAAAATAATTTTGAAGAATTGGCTACAAAAAATAACATTTGTACCACACTTTTAGAATTAATTAACCCAATACCCTTTAGTCATCCATGCTAACGTTTTCCAAAAGAATAACTTATTTTATTGTATGTTTAATCTCAATAACTAAAAAATATACTGACAATTAGTTTGACAGAATTGTCATTTATTTAAAATTTTAAAAATAATAGCAGTCGGTTGATCAAAATATGAACGGTGATTGGCGAATTTATTTTTTTTGCAGTGTTCTCACTACCTAGAATGGATATGAAATATATTCGTTCAATTGAAGGCAATAGCATACTTTTTCGTTTTGTAATCTGTGCATGGATATTAGCCAATCTATGCACATACTACAAAACGAAAAAGTATGTTATTGCGTTCAACTACGAATATATTTCATATCCATTTTAGGTAGTGAGAACACTTTAACAAAATTAAATCTACAAATCACAGTTCATATTTTGGTCACCCAACTCCTATTATTTAAATTTTTTTAAATAAGTGACAATTCTGTTAAACTAATTGTCAATATATATTTTAGTTATTGATATTAAATATACATTAAAATTTTTGTGTAGACTCGATAAATAATAGCATTTTTGTTTTTATTGTGTCCACATTTAAAAAAAAAATAAATTTTAATCAAACTACATGATACTAATTTAATTACGAGTATTAAAACTAAAGTCCTGAAAGTTTCGGTGAAGATGACAGAGCATCTGCCTTCCACGCGAAAAGCCCGGGATCGAATCTAGGCCGAGGACTAATTAATTTTTCATGTTAATTTTATTTTATAAATTAGTCAACTTCGTAAATTATTTTAAAATTAGTTATTTTATCTAAATAACCTAAAATAATTTTTTAAATTTGTAGATTTTCGTTAGTGGGTCGTAGAAAAAATATACTGGCCATATCGAGTGGATTGTTCATATCACAATCAGACGATTGAGTACTCCGCATACGACGTCGTGCTTAAACTTCGTCTTTGTGTGATATTGCTATCATATCCACCCTTGTTGAACAAACTATAATTTATTTGTTTTCTTGGTTTAAACCAAAACTTAAGTTTTACATCAGAAATAGGAACTAAATTAATTTACTTTTCAAGTTTTCTTATAAAAATCGATATTACTTTCTCCAAGTACAAATTTAGTACCTACCTAAAATAAGTACTAATTATGTAATATCGTGTTATATTGTAATTCAAATTTCACATTACTATAAAGTTTCAAAATTCCCTACTTCGGTATGGTCAGATAAAAATTGAATATATTATATTAATAAAAACTGTCAAAGTATTACTTCTACAAATCTGTATTTCAATTAATAAGAATACATCTAAATATAACCAATATTGTTAAAATAAAAGCACAAATTCTTTATAATTCCAAAATACCATAGAGTTCCCAGACCTCAGTCGAAGCATTCGTTTATCTAGGTATAAACCCTTTGCGCGAAGAGTAACACTTGCCAGAGACACGGGGTACCACTTGATTTGCATCCACGAGCGTGACACAATTCTTTAACAATTGAAGCCCTTGGTGTAAAAAGGATCCAAGTCACAATTTGTCGTGAAGTGACTGTTTTAGCTCAAAACATTTGTTAACGAGGATTTTACTAGCCACATACAAATTATTTTACCTCTAATCCGAAAGATGTGCTATTTTTCGTAATATTTATATTTAAATAATGTTTCTAATTATATTTGACAGATTTAAAACAAATTAAAAATTTAATTTCCCAAAACTTACTTAATATGGCATGTAACCAACCTTATTACGCCAAGGTTTTCAATTTTTTCAATAATAAAAAAATTGTTTAATCCGGGCCCGACTTTTCCCTCGAATCTAACAGAGATAGCACCATTTCGTCTTGCTTGGTTCTCGACCGCCAGATCAAAGACGCCGACACGGAGTTGTGGAGCTGTATATTGTACAAGCTGTGGTAAAATGTTGAAATACAATATTGTTATTAGAGCATGAAATGGTACTCATTGTCTACGAGTATTATAAAAAAAGCATGTGCGCAGGCGATTACTGCAAATCAAACCTTGTGAGTTAGACATTATATTTTTTCTACGGCTATTACATAATATTAAAAATTTATCAAAACGAGCAAATGCTTTTTTGTATTGTAACCTCAGCTTCTTTTTTTAGGAATATTAATTAATATTCTTCTTCTTTGCCATTCTATATTCTGTTTTTTAGGCTTGTTCTAATGATTTGAACTGACCTTTTTATTTTATCGCTTATTAATTTTCGCGTTTTATTTCCATTATTTGATGTTGCTTGTATGTTCAATAGAAAGAATCTTTTTAAATATCTTTAATACCATTACTGCTGAGGTTTAGAATTTTATTCGCAATTAAAATTTAATAATAAATAGACTTTAAACAGTAATTTTTCAATTTTTTATGAATTACTTGTTACTTTCTTAATATTCATGTTTCAAAAATGTTGATTCCCACATTTTTTATTTTTCTAAAGAATTTTATTCGCATTAATTTTTTTGTAGTTACTTGAGGGTCAAAAAGGAATACTTAAGTTTTTCATTTGCCAAAACAGTCCAATTTTGTGATTTCAGTCAATAAAAGCTCGCTATCCTAACCAGTCATTGAGTTTTGTAGTGATTAACCAGTTTCTTCCTTCTTGTTTTTTTTATAAAACTTTGTTTACCTTTTGAACTAACAACTAAACATAATTTAAAAACTTTTAATATACCTTATTTCAAAATTATTGTTAATTTTACAGAACAAAATTAAAATCGGTAATATTTATAATTATTGAACTAACCTGTTTTTGTTCGTTTGTGTTAAATCATTTTAACACACATAAAACTCACTTAAATCACTACTTTTATCAATTAAAAATATTTTTTTCTAATACTCAAACAGTTCTAAATTAGCTAAATTAAGCAAAACTTTTCACTTTATAGAATAAAAATATACAACAAAAACTTTAAAACACTGGCAAATATCAAATGTCAAATCCCGAAGCAAAGGTGCAATAATACGTTGTTGCCATATGTGTTTATTTTTAAAACATAATAATAAATTATATTGCTACACTAAAATGCCTAAATGATAAAAGTAACGAGAGCTTTCCAAAAGCTGACAAGTTTGTCATATGCAATATTTCTAAAAGGAGACTCCTGTCTTCATTTTAATTAGGCCAATAAAATGTGTAATTATTGCAAAAAAATATAATATATAATACCTTAGATGATTTGTAATATATTAGAGGTATATTACAATATTTTAATGTTAAATTTTAGGTACTATATTTCATAGTTTTTTTATATGCAAATTAAAAAATATATACGTAAATTACCTGGCAACGAAGCTAGGTTATTTCCAATCTTCCTCCCTCTTGGCCGAACTTGAATGACCTTCAAACGGGTGTAAACGAGGTAAAGAGCTCCTGAGTGTTTTGATCGAATTTTGAGGTTTTTTGAAGTGTTAAACTACGGAAACTGCTCAGTGCATACCTAATACTAGTGAGAATCTTGTAAAAGGTAAATTTTAAGATAAAATCTATGTTAAAGACTAATACTTTGTAAAAATAATAAACTGCTTGGTAATTACTATCGCCATATTCAAAATAGTCTGTAGGCCATGCCAACTGGTACTAACACACGAGGTGCATCCCAACAGAAGATGGATGAAAGAGCCATGGAAGAAATGATAGGTAAAATTTGCCAGAAATTCTTAGATAAGATCGACGAACAGTTTGAAAAGAAATTTGAAAAAATTGAGGCAAAGCTAGACAGTTTCTGTGAAAGATGATAAAACACTTGCCGTAAATATCCAAGAAATAGCGAAAAATAAAAATAAATTGGATGAACTAGAACAAAATCAGAGAAGAAATAATTTAAGATTTACCGGGGTAAACGAAAACGAAAATGAAAATTTACTAGCCATTATGATTAACCTGATAAACAACAATTTGAAAGTAAAGTGTACGTCATTAGAAATTTCTAACATTTTTCGAATCGGGAAAGATATTGGTGAAACAAAACCGCGAACAATTATCGTAGAATTTCTGACTTGCATTAAAAGGAACGAAGTCTTTAACGCAAGAAAACACCTTAAAGGCACCGGAATCTTCATTAATGAAGACTTGATACAATCAAGATACAAACTATTTATGTTGTCAAGAAAAAAATATGGATCCAAAGATGTCTGGATAAGAGGGGGACTAGTATACATTAAACATTAAAATGAAAACGTCTGTGTTAAAAGTGAACAGCAATTATTTAATTTAACGAACTAGTACGCCCACCGACTAATATTTATAATGTACTATAAATTTCACTTTGTGGGTTTTTAATACCTCATACGTAGTTTTTGTTTTTGTTTTAGTTTTTTTACTTCATACTGATAACTAACACTATAATTAAATTAAAATAATTATTTATGATTTTGGAATGGAATTGAATACATTGAATACAGGGTGGTCCAATTTTTAATAGAAAATGTTTTATTGATTTTACTTTAAAAATATGAAAAATATGGATGTTTGATTTTATTTTTTAGGAATTAATACTATTTATTTATTAGAGCTTAGGGGCCCATAAATCCAATGGGAGCACTAACTTTATATTATCAAAATGCTAGGGGATTGAATTCAAAACTTGTTGATTTTTTTAGAAATTCTTGTGATCAAGAGTATGATGCTATTCTGGTGTCAGAAACGTGGCTAGGAGAAGGAGTATCGGATGGGGAAATTGTTGATCTGAATAAATATGCTATAGTAAGAGCCGACAGAAACAAAGAACTGACAAATAAGGTAAAAGGCGGAGGGGTATTAATCGCGATAAACAAAAGATTTAAAATTTTGAACATTACGACAGTTAGTTCCTTTTTTGATGCAGTAGTAATTCAAATGAGATTCAAAAACAATTTAAAATTCATGTTAGCGTGTGTATATACAGTGCGTCCATAAAGTAACGCATAAATTCATTATTGGCTAAATGAACAATAAAATTAGGAATTCCCAAAACAGGTCGATTTTTGATTTCAATTTACTATTTCAAATCATAATCTAATATACAGGGTGAACCACTTTCGTGTAATGACGTCATCACCATTTTTTTCAAATGGAACCCCCCCTTTTTTTTCAATTTCCAAGTTGCCTTTGCTGAGCTGATTCCAAAAATGTATAATATGTTGCTTCAAATTGGTACAGGGTGGGCAAAAATGCAAAAATTTACTTACAAAGTAATGAAAATAACGAATAAACGTAATAAACACATTAAATGAAATTACGTATTGTTATTACAACTACTTTGATAAACTATCAAGAACATACAGCATTATTCTTAATAATTGTATCTTACAGCTTTTATTAGTGATCCAAGCCCCTGGACTATAAAAATCTTTTTGTTTGGCATTATCTTTTACCAGTTTTTTTTATTTGACATACCAGTTTTTTTTATTTGACAACACTGTCAAAAACATTGAAGCACAGTTTCGTATTGTTAACGCTGTAGAGAAGGTACGTTCGTGAACTTTTTTTACAAAATGCCTTTAACCGAAAGTGACAGGATTGAAATATTAATGATGATTGGTATTGGCGATAAGATGCGGACTCAACAAGAGGTATGCCGATTATTCCATGAAATGCACCCAGATCGTGAACCTATTTCACAATCTACGGTAAGTAGAATAGAGCGAAAATACAGAGAATTAGGACATGTGAGGGATGCAGCAAGGCAAGGTAGACCAAAAATTGATGAAAATATTCAACAAGACATAATTTTGTCGGCTGTAGAAAATCCACACTGTACAGTGCGAGGATTATCTAGGGATTTTGGTATTGGAAAGTCTTCAGTATCAAACATTTTCAAAAAGGTAAAATACCATCCTTATAAAGTACGTCTCATCCATGAATTGGCTGAAGACGACTTTGACCGAAGAACTGAATTCTGCGAGTATATGATGAACCAAAATAACAATTTCATTGATAATGTTTTATTTTCGGACGAGGCAACGTTTTATTTGAACGATCATGTTAACCGGCAAAACACCCGTTATTGGTCTGATGAAAATCCACACTGGATGCAAGAGTACCATACGCAAAGACCACAAAAAACTAACGTATGGGCTGGTATTGTGAGAAATACAATTATTGGTCCATATTTTTTCGATGAAAACTTAACAGGAGCATTATATTTGGATTTCCTACAAAATACATTAATTCCTGATCTGATCCAGCTTTTTCCTGATATTCAAATACCCACTAATGTAGACCGCAGAATCTGGTTTCAACAGGATGGCGCACCGCCACATTACGCAGTAGCTGTGCGCAATTTTTTAAACACAACTTTTCCACAAAGGTGGATAGGAAGAAGGGGACCAGTGGAATGGCCTGCTAGATCACCTGATCTGAACCCATTAGACTTCTTTTTATGGGGTTATTTAAAATCTAAAGTCTACTTCAACAGACCTGGAAATATCCCTCAACTACAAGACCGAATCAGACAAGAAATACAGAGCATAACACCCGCTATGCTACAGAATGTTAGAGACGAAAGTAATGCCCGGTTCAGTCATTGTCTAACGGTCAATGGAGAACAATTTGAACATTTATTGTAAATTTTCGTTCGTTTGTTTGTTTTTGGAAGTGTATCACATTAATTGCATAACTACATAATTCCATTTAATTTGTTTATTACATTCAGTAACGTATTACTTTCCATAAACAATTTTCATATTTTTTTTTGCATTTTTGCCCACCCTGTACCAATTTGAAGCAACATATTATACATTTTTGGAATCAGCTCAGCAAAGGCAATTTGGAAATTGAAAAAAAAGGGGGGTTCCATTTGAAAAAAATGGTGATGACGTCATTACACGAAAGTGGTTCACCCTGTATATTAGATTATGATTTGAAACAATAGTAAATTGAAATCAAAAATCGACCTGTTTTGGGAATTCCTAATTTTATTGTTCATTTAGCCAATAATGAATTTATGCGTTACTTTATGGACGCACTGTATACCTCCAAGTAGTCCTAATGCCGTTTTAGAATCATGTGTCAATTTTTTGCAAGATAATATTGTTCCAGATTTAAAGCATACTTATATTTGTGGTGACTTTAATATTTCAGATGTAAGGGGAGCGGGTACACTATTTGCTAATAATAGAAATACAAAAATGTCTCTGTTAGAAGATTTCTTAAATTTTAATTGTTTTGTTTTGTTTAATAATGTAAGTAACTTTCAAGGTAAAACTCTAGATCTGGTAATATCTTATGAGAAAAATGTGTGTAATGTAAACCGAGTGGAAGATCCATTAACTAATGAGGATATGTACCATCCTCCTTTGGAAATGTATACTGAGATATCACAAATCATGAAAAACAGCTATCTAAATAATGAAGTAAAATTCAGATATAACTTTAAAAAAGCGGATTTTAAACGTATGTGTGAATTGATTAGAGATACGAATTGGAGAGAGGTTTATAAAGAGCAAGATGTTAACAGCTCTAACTTTAAATTTTTTAACAATTACAATAAATATCCTATTTGGTACAATAAGACCATTAAAGACTTAATAAAGGAAAAAAATCTGAAAAAAATTAAACATATTTCAACTTATTATTTAGAATATTGTCAACCAAGGAAGACATTAAAATATCTGTTAAAAATCGAACATAAAAATTACATTAAATCAATAGAAAATTCGTTAACAACAGATATTAATAAATTCTGGAATTATGTTGAGAATAAGAGGGCTCAAAGCGGAAACAACGCAAATTTTACTTTTGATGGGACCGAAATACAATCACAAGATACTGCGCAATGTTTTGCTGAATTTTTTGCTAGCGTATACTCTCAAATTCCATCCAGTTATAATGTTAATTTTAATAGTTACCAAAATTTGAACAATGATACGTTCTCTATTAATTCTATAAATGATTCAGACTTTGAGGCAGCTATAAAAAAATTGAAACCGAAGAAGTCAGCAGGCGTTGACGGAATACCAACATATGTAGTGAAAGGTTGCCATGAGTGGCTAAAAAGGCCGTTACTACATATATTTAATTTAATTTTAAGTACTGCTGCTTTTCCAATTTTGTGGAAAACTTCAATTTGCACTCCTATTTACAAATCAGGTAATAAACGTGACATTCGAAATTATAGACCTATCTCAATAATGTGCGCATTTTCAAAACTTTTTGAACAAATAATATATACAAAATTATATTCATTTGTTGAAAGCTCAATAAACCAGCAACAACATGGATTTATGTCTAAGCGATCAATTAATACCAATTTATTGTCATTTAGTCATTGTGCGAATGAAACTTTAGAAAATAAACTTCAACTTGACATAATATACACGGACTTTAGTAAAGCCTTTAATCGTGTGAATCAAGATGTTTTGTTGGAAAAAAATTATGAATTTGGCTGCACTGAAAGTGCCATGCATTTATTTAAAAGTTATTTAAAAACAAATATTTTCAAGTTAGATATGATGGGAACACGTCGGGAAAATTTCACGCTGCTTCAGGCGTACCTCAGGGTTCAAATTTGGGTCCCCTGTTTTTCCTTTTATTTGGTAATGACATTACGAAATGTATTAAATTTTCTAAATGCTTATTATTTGCAGATGACCTCAAAATATATAAACAAATACAAACAGTTCGTGACTTTGTGGCTCTTCAAAAGGACTTAGATAATGTTTATGATTGGAGTGTCAAATTTAAATTAAATTTTAATATAAAAAAATGTTGTGTCATGACTATGACCAGACAGAAAGTCTCAGTCTTATTTGACTAT